GAAATTAAGTCCTGAAAAGCAGCCTCAAAATCAAGTTCCCATTAACCTCGTGTTGTGTCTTTCCCCAGCAAACACAGGGAAAGGCTCCCAGCGAAGCTCCCGTCTTCAGCTACAGTCTGAATCTGCCAAGGATGAAATAAAGCCTCTCATTCCTCCCCTGACTTTTATTATCTAAATTATCAAAAGGAACAAAGACTAAAATGTGTCTGCACACCCGGACAGACTGCAGTCGCACACCATCTTCCTCTTTTTCAGTCTCGCAGAGAATCATTCCAGCCCACTGTTCTTTCCAGAGAAATGCAAACAAAAATAAGCATAGTAGAAAAGGAGGGAAGGGGAGGGAGGGAAGGAGGGAGGGAGGAAGAGAGAGAGAGAGAGAGAGAGAGAGAGAGAGAGAGAGAGAGAGAGAGAAGTTTCCTAGGTACACTGAAATAAAAAAGGTGAAAGAATGGACTTATGGTCTCCCCAACAGTGACCATGAAAAGATGAAACAGTAAAATTCTGATATTCTACAGCTGCAGGTCGTGTTTCATTCCACTACATGGACCACACCTTTCTACGAATCTTTCTAATAGAATCAATGTAGACATCCAATTCAAATTAGAAGTCTTTTTCTACGCAAAGCCTTTTTCTACACATGAAGGAAATGAAAAGCTCAGGATTATTCTGTTACAACAAAACCAACTCAGGAGAAACTGAACAGACAGATCAGAAGGAGGCAGTGCAACACCGAGCTGCAAGCTTCAGAAAGGCAAACAGGAGTAGAACTGAGAAATAGAGGAAAGGAATAGCCCTAAGCCAGAGGCAGAAAAGCCATCATGTGGAACGGTGGTAATCAACAGAAATTTTTAGCAATTGTGTAAGAAGCAGAACTCCATAAAAGTGCTGTTGATTTAAGCTAGAATTTAAAATCTGCACTGTAAATCATTTCAGACAAGAAAACTTAGCAACTTCGACAATTACAGTAATATTGATACAACGGTGGTGTCCAACCATACCAATACCCATGTTCTGATATTGCTGGAAAGAGTATCACTAAGATTTGAATAGAAGGAAAAAGGGAAAACTTTTATTTGTCCACATAAGGGTATTACCTCTTGTTGTATGAAGGAACAAAAGGCATAATAGATATTGTGAAATAGAAAGAAAAGGTCGAAAGGGGAAGGGGCAGCGGGAGGGATTGGGGAAATAAAAGACAGTAATGGAATTGATATAGAAAATAAGAAATGTAACCAAATGTTTTGTAAATAGGGACAGGTGGAGGGGTTGAAGGGAGGGTAGGGGAATGGGGGAAAAATAAGAACCAAGATAGATCATGTAAAGGCGCACATTTCCAGTGATGAATGTCATCATACTGTATACCTAAAATGTACCAACAAAAATTTTTAAAAGAATGTCATTTGTAGGAAAATGGATACACCTTGAGACCATAATATTAAGTCAAATAAAGCAGACACGCAGCTTAAATATCACAAGGTTTCTCTTATGTGAAAACCCCAAAATGGAAATAAAGAGCAAAATAAAAGACAGACAATAAAAAAATAGGAAGATAGTTTACAGAAGGGAAGGGGACTCAGAAATGAAAGGAGGAAGAGGGAGGAAGGAGAGCAGAGGGAGATTGGAAAAAAAGAAGGACGATGCGTTATGCACATGTTCCAAGTCCCCATGAGGAAGCAATCATTACAAACTGCAAACATGTACTATGGGAAATAGCAACCCATGCCATGTAACAGAGCATAAAAAACAAGTTGCAATCCTAAATTGAAATGCAGTAATTATCATTTGCAGTAGAGCAGTTGTATACTCCAACATCATATAATAGCATAGATATATAGCCATGATTGTATGGTAGCAACACCAGTAATGCTCTGAGGATGACTTTGATCAGTTACTTTCAGTTCTATATGGGCGAGGCCTATCAGTGGATTCCTCTTTTGCTTTTGTCTACAAAAGTCAGAATCACGGAGGTTCTGTAACCCAAAGAGTGAGTGTTGAGTGAATATAGTGAAAAGAGAGGACCTGGGTGCATAACGGCAATAAACGTGAAGTACTATGACGGTCATGTTTTTATTGAAAACGTACATAGCTACTCACTAATTTGAATTTGCCAAAGATTAACTGTCATATTTAGATTTTACTGTTTGGACCAGTGTCTTACAATCATCACAGAGTTTTGACCATTTACATGCATCAAATCCTTCCATAGCTGTCAATTTAGTCTTCCGTGCATTCCTGTCTCCTTACGTACATCAGTAAATTTCAGTCAACATGTGCAAATTTCATCAATTTGTATCACATTTACCTAACCATTTGTGTTGCAAGGAACAAGTACTCCTGATAAACCTATTACAGCAATCCTTCAGCCCAGCAAGTGGGAATAAATATTCCTTGGCAAAATAGAGCATCTCCTATAAACAACAAGCTTCCAGCATTATCACGGATTAGACAGTGTTTTATACAGAAAATGTATTTCCCATATAAATTGATTACAAAAACTTGATTAGAAGATCTACCACAGATGATTGCCATGTGGAAGGATAGATATATAAGTGCACACATTTATATTTACAAGGATTTGACAGAAAGAATAGGCAGAAAAAGAAAAGAAAATATCTTTGAAAATTATCTAAATAGCTAGTTGTGCAGCTAGGCAGTAGGGTACTTGCCTACCATGTGCTAGACCCTGGATTTAACCCCAAGACCACACACACACACACACACACACACACACATGCACACACACACTATTAAAAATTTTTAATTTAAGAAACAAATATCTTCAAATTTGTCATTCAAATTTTTCTCAATATAGTTTTTTGTTGTTGTTGTTGTTGTTGTTTTTGTTTTTGGTGCCAGGGATTGAACTTGGGACCTTGGCCTTGCAAGGCAGATGGCAGAACCACTGAGCTAAATCCCCAGCCCTCAATACAATATTTTAAACAAACATACGGGATCTGCAAGTGTATATAAATTGTAAAATTATATGAAAGGAAAATGTAAAAATCTATATATATTTCACTTTATATCATTATTTTAGTTCATGCTGCATTGTTATAACAAAACACACATCCTGGGTGAGTTTGGGAAGTCAAAGATCGTGGCATCAGCATGAATATGGTATCTGACAAGATCCTTCCTGCTGCACCGTGATATGGCAAAGGGGATCAGGTGGCAGAGAGAGCAATGTGCTGGATTAGGTCTCTCTTCCTCTTCTTATAAACCCACCAATATTATCATGGCTGCTCCACCTCGTGGCCTCATCCAATCCTGCTTGACTTCCAAAGGCCCCACCTCCAAATACCATTGACATGACCTTGACGGTCAAGTCTCATACATGAACTTTTCAAGATCATCTTCCAATGATAGTCATTGCTGATTTGTGCTATTCTGAAAATATCAATAATTTGTTTGTTTGAAAAGCTCTCTAGCTCCCACTCAGCAAGTGGGTCACTAGTGAAAAACAGGGAGGGAGAGAAGGACAGTAGTGATTGTGACCAGCAGGTAGTGCAAGGGGCCAGTTAAATCACAATTCTGGAATGGCTCAGTTCAAGAGTTCTTGATTGGAAGAACCAAGAGGCTAGTGGTCACGTTTATTAAGGTGAGAAAGATTCAAGAACAAGTAGTACGAAAGAATATGGAATCATTATTTTGATCACATTAAATTTGAAAGATTTTTCCAAACATTGGTAAGAAAAAAGAGATCAGCAGCAACAGATATGGTCAGAGATGAAGATCTAAGGCTGGAAGTCTGACAAACAGTATTGAAAGGTTATCCAGCTGCACTGTCCTTTTCACCTGATTTCTCGTTACAGCTTCAGCCCTTGGATCAAAATGAGCATATCCTCTTTACAAAGCAGTTTTCAAGTTCTTGTAGTAAATCATCTTGGTGACTTATGTTTTTCCTCAATGCTCACAGTAATTTGCTCTCTCCTTCTACAAATTGAAGACATTTTGGTGTTGACCTCAGGGGAAATCTAGCAAAATCTCATGTCTGACAAAATGCTGTAAGTAAAGCTGGCCCTTGCCTCCAGGGACTGGACCACTTGGGGATAGTTGAGACCTCATCTCAAATTCTAGCGCCCGTTGATAGATGTACATGAATTTTAACCCAACCTCTGAAGTTTCTAAGACTTTTATGTACTAAGACTCCACTAGTCTGCCGTGAATTGTGTCCTTGTCTAAACTTGGGAAGAACCTGCAAACCTCCTGTCAGGTGGACCCTTCTTTTCTGTTCTCTGAGGGAAAAGCCTTACTATGAATCCGGTTTTATTTTTTGTTCTAAATCTGTTTCTATGGACTTCATATTAGCTTTACTCCCAGCGCCTGGCGGTACTTTGTGATTTATAGAATTTATTACTAGGGCATAGTCTCATATTTTTCTTTGTCTACTTTTAGCTATCACGATAAGAACTGCTGTCAGTTTGGCTGAGGAGATGTAAGCCAAAAAATATTTTAAGTCCGAATTCCCACAACTCATCTTTAAACAGGGGCTACAAAATATTTTTATTGCAACTGCTATTTATTTGTTTGTTTATTTATTTATTTTGTGAGAGGTTGTAACTTTTTTTTCTCATTGAGTTTATTGATACTTTTTAGGTATACAGTACAGTTATGTTCATCATTGGGATCTTGTACCTTTACATGACAGGTCTTGGAAAGGCTGGGATATGGGGAACTAATGAGTACAACTTCTTTTTTAAATGTGTAAGGTTATACAGAAAAAAATGCTATTATTTTAACTGTCTTACCAGTCCTTCTAAAGTATAAAAATTCATTAAAAGTCTGCATGCTGAGCCAGGCGTGGCGGCACACACCTGTAATCCCAGCACTCGGAGGCTTAGGCAGGAGGATCGCAGTGAGTTCAAAACCAGCCTGGGCTACATAGTGAGTTCCAGGTCCGCCTCAACTACATAGGGAGACCCTGTCACAAAAAACAAACAAACAAACAAAAACAAAAGTCTGCATGCCAAAAAATAATTTATATGTATAATCAGTGTGAGAGAAAACAAAGTAATTTATATTTACATCAAAAGATTGAGTGCCACAAAGCTGTGGAAATGGTGCCGTTTTTTAAATCTTCCAAACTATCACTCAGTGTAATCCAGAAGGACTCCAACTCACGACTAATTCTTATGCGTTTTCTGTGTGTTCTAAATTCAATTCACCCTGAAGAACTTTGGAGTCAGGGTATTCTGAACTGTGAGTTGCACTGTTGTTCAGACTCCGGCGTGAGCCAATGTTCACTTTGGCATAAGTAGTCTGCTGATACAGCTGCGCGTTGGTCATTGTGATTATCACCCGTTCTTTTTAAGCAGGGCTGTTATCAGCCTTCTGGAATGAGAGTCTGTTGAAAAGAAATGTTGTTTATTATTGGCTGTCAGACTGCTCTGATCAGAAAGCATCCTATCTACGAATGTAAAAATTACACACATCTCTCCACGCCACTGACATCAATGCGTTCCTGCTGCAGGGGCAAATTTTCTGTTTACAAAAGCAATTCCAAAGTACACAATTTCAAAATCAAGGTGATGAGACAGCACTCATCAGCCGGGCAGTGTGTGTGTTTCGTGATTTATTTACCAGAGACTAACAAAGAAAAAACTGATAATTGGCATGAAAAATACTATGTGTGCCAAATAGATCTTCTAAATATTGAGGCAAGGAGGGTTAAACACAATACTGTAGTTTACACTAATGAACATGTCCAGTAAAGCCCTTCCCCAGAGCAGAACAACGCGATAATCACTCTGCATAAAGTCGTTTTTTGTTCCTGAGACAGCCAAGGAAGCACTCTTCTTGGAGCTGTAAACCCTGTACGCGGGCAGAGATGGAAGCTGCTCATGGCCAACCCCCTGGTGGTGGGAGCCGAAGCCCTGCGTCGGAATGGCCTTCATTACCGCGAGAGTAGCTAGCTCAGCCTCAGGTCTGCAGCCTACAAATTCCTGCTTTTCTAGATCCTCCTTGCTCTTCAGAGCTGAGGCTAATGTTATGCTTCCATGAAAAGGTTTTCAGCAGGGAGAGGGGGCATTTCAGACTCCGTGGATGGGGGCTGCATGTTCGTAATGGGCTCTGAGGAATAATCAGTTAGGGTGGAGGGCCGGAGGTGAGAGTGGAGCGGCGGAAAGCCTCATGTCCATGCTGATGACTTCAGTGTGGATACTGAAATCCTGTGGGCTGACTGTGGAGATCAGCAAAAGATCGGTGGACCTGGGACTAAATCACTGGGAGATATGACAGTTTGCAGTGGATTTATGTGCTTGTCAGTGCAGCCAGTCATAGCAGAGAGCCCACTAGGAGACAGCAACTGGGCAACACAGCCTTGCTCCGGGTTCTGGTGTTCTGGAAAAGCCCTGGAGAAAGACACCCTGCTACCTCGTCTTTTCCATCAGTCTGGGTGTTATTTCCCGGAGAACTCTGCTATGACTTTCGCTCTGTCTCTAACAGTCTAATTATTCAAGGCTCAAGTGAAATTATAGTGTATCTAGTTTTTAACTTTGTGCGGGGAAATTTAAATTACCTTACTGATTGATTTAATTTTCATGGTAACTCTGTGAGGCAAGATTATTGTCTTCATTTTAAAGGTAAAAGCAGAGTCTCAGCACAGGTATGTAAGGCGGCTAATTCAGGAAGAAAGAAAATCGAGGCTTCGTATCCAGTTGACTTTGCAGTGAAACCTGTTTTACCCTCATGCACAGAGCTCCAACTGCTTCATCTGCCCAAGAAAACACATTGTTCAGATGTCTGATGGCTTTTTTCAGTAGAGAAGAATAGGGTTCCATTCCTGGGTCAGAGGGCCAAGATAGCTAAGTATGTGTTTGTGTCTGTGTGTGTGTGTGTGTGTGTGTGCATGTATTTAAACTTGAAAATCCAACATTTCTACTTTAAACAACTGATTTCCATAAAGTGATACCATAGAATAAAAATTTGATCCATTCTGCAATATTTTTATTATTCATTCCAACCCCTAATTTCTTTTCAAAGCTTTACTAAAGTTTTTTGCTACTCACTACATCTTAAAATATATTGAATGTGATGGATGATGTATAAATGTTTGTTTTCTAAAGGGGCCACATAAAGTAACACTGGGACAATGAGAAAAAAGAAATTATATACCCTTGTTTTAGATTTGGGTAAGTCTGGAATACTAGTTTTTCTGTGTATAAGGATGTAACTGTATTTGAACAATGTGATTTTTTATTCTAGTGCACAATTAAGCAGAATCAATGATAAAATATAAATGAAACTGAAATATCGTGGCTCAAGGAAATTCTTAAAAAGTATTTCAATGAAGCTTTAAGATTGCATAAGTAAATAACATGGGAAGCAAGTATCATTCATAAAATTATATAATTAATATAAATAATAAAATAAGACTAGTTCTGGTATTAATAACATCCTAATTGTGGAGCAATAATAACACAGCTAAATTAATTGATGGTATTTAAGGATGTTTTCCCTTAGCCATCCTGCCTGTTCAAAGGTTTCTTCATTTCTCCCACTTGAAGTTTTTGTTCATGCAGTTTTCCCCTCAAACACATGTTGTGCTTCAAATCCAGGCTCTCCTACTGCAAACATCCATATGAGGAGTCAAGGAGAGACTCGTAGTGTAAAGTAAATAGGTCAAGGCTGGAAAATAACCCTCATAAAAGTTTTTTTTTTATTTTAAATGAATTGTAAGTACATACACTGGACAGCCATGTTACTATTGCATCATGATTATGTTTCAAACATTCCATACTTATCATTGTGTGACCCTGGACACTCAATCTCACCACACTTTTGTGGGCTTGACCACTCCCATTTTACAAATAAAGAGGCTACAGACGTCCATTCAGTCTTCCATGGTCACATCGTAAATGTAGAAATCCACATGATTAACTATTTTTCTGTAGCTGAGTAAAGTGTGCATAGTCCTTATAGTCATTCAGAATATATGGTCTACATAGATAGCTAGCTCATCCAAATATACAGAAACTTCCACTGCATCTGATTGCAGTTTTCTACTCTAATTTTATCATAAATTTCAATGTAGCTTTTGCTGTTATAATCTTGTTTAAAATCTAAACATTTTTGTTTCAATTGCATTAGTGAAACTAGAATAATAAATATGTATTGGAGAGGCAAATCATCATTCAAAAAAGGATTTGGTGACATAATCATTAAGTAGAGAATCTAGGGATTTCTGAATTTAGGTCATTAATTTCTTTTGCCTAAATCAAAAATGGCTAAAAAAAATCATCATCCTGAAGTTTCCTCATCACAGTTCCACGTAGAAGGAGGAGGTGATGTAAAATGAGACGGTGAGACATCCATTTCTCTAAAAAAGACACACTGTCAATAGCATAACTCTCTGCTATCACAGCTGACACTAATTGGCACCCTTATCAGGGCTCTCAAAAGAGAGGTCATAACCGGAAGTGGCTCCTCTGGGTTGAGAAGCAGAGATGTGGAAACCCAGGTGCCTTTGTTATAAGAAAAGCAAGAGCCATCAGTGTTTATCCATGACCACAGATGATTGAATAACTGCTACCATGTTAAACACGGAACTCGCCGACAGATGTCTAAAGCAGCAGAACAGATCAGACAAGAGGAAACCAAGACTACACTTTGGTACCTGCAGATTCTGCATCCACACACAGAGGCTTCCAGAAGGGGCGAGCAGAGGAGGCGCATTCAATCCAGGAAAGAGATGGCCTATACCTTAAGTAATATACTCCACATTAGGGTGGGGGCACTACTGCACCAGGATTTCTGCAATAAAATACATGAATATGAATGGCAACTGCAATAAAGAAAGGCTGAAAAAACATTCTCATGTCATTCAGTTCAGTTTGCCACCAAAACAACAACCTCATTTAAATTCAGGACTTGCTGCCAAACGTGTTATGAAAAAAATTCTGTTTAAGAGATTTTGGAATTTCTGAATTGCAGATATGGCACTGTGGACCTGTGCAGGAATTAGGATTATTGCCCAGTGTGGTGATGCACACATGTAATCTCAGTCCTTGAGAGGAGGCTGAGACAGGAGGATCAACCCGAGTTGGAGGCCAGCCTGAATTGAACTGCATAGCAAGACCCTGTTACACACACAAAAAAAATTGGGATTATTTAGCTGGGACACAAAGACTGAAATGTAACTAAAAATATGAACTTTGTGGGACAAGAATTTAGCTCAGTGGGTCCATATGGACTTTATCTGTTAGAGTTTCAGAATGTTTATCGAGCACCTACTATATGCCAGCTCTGACAGATAAGACATTGCTGAGAAGAAAGAAGCACCTATACTTGGTGCTTGGTGCCCAGATTTATTCATCTCCTGTGAAATTCTTCAACAGGTGGGATGTGTTTTCAATGTTCCTCTGAGGTATTAAAATAAGGAATAGTCCTCCTATGCAGGTATTAGAAAATAATTACGGGAAGATTTAACTTAGAAATATTTTCCTATTATGACTCAAAATCCACAGACATAGAATTGATAAATCTGATGACAGTAAAATAAAAACACAGCCTTGTGAATACAAAAAAAAAAAAAAAAATGCATCAACAAAACCAGGAGAGCCCTAAAGAAACAGGAGAAATAAATTTCTCCGTGAATCACAGGCAAAACACAAGCAATTCCAGATGTATAAAGAACTCTAAAATGGAATACTTTTTGGTCTTAGAAAGGGAGGCACTCCTGTTGGGCGTTGTAGCCGGCATGAAGCTGAAGAACAGTATGCGCCAGGTGAAATACGGCGGTCACAGCCCAAGGAGCGCTGTGGGATTCCACCGATGTGCAGTCCTAGAGCGGTCAGAACCATCAGCCCGGAAGACTCATGGTTGCCAGAGTGGGGAGGAAGTGGTTAGTCTTTCACACGTGCAAAGTTTCCGTTTTCCATGATGAAAAGATTTATGGAGTTGGATGGCAGTGATGGCCACACAACATTATAAATGAATTTAACACCACAGAAGTTTATGTTTAAAAATAGTTAAATAGTGATTTTTAAGCTATGTGTATCTTACTACAGTCAATAAAAAATTTTAAAAAGGAAGAATACTTTTCCTTTGAACGGCCATTAAGTACAGGAAAAGTTACATAAGAAAATTATGGGATCTGCTTTCATCTGGAAATATTAAAAGACAATAATATTTCTTGGACGATTTGAAGCCAACAAAATCAACAGTGCAGATTCTTACACCCCGGTGTAAAACAAGGTTCTGTACATCAATATTAGTTTTCCAAACTCTGATTCTGGTGAATTCTAGGAATTTCTTATTCTTTTTCACAGTGACACCTATATATTTTGTTTATAGAAAACAATTATTTTGGGCCTGGGATTTGGCTCAGTGGTTCTGCTGCCTGCCTCACAAGTGCAAGGGCCTGGGTTTAACCCCCAGTACCAAAAAAAAAAAAAAAAAAAAAAAAAAAAAAAAAAAAAAAAAAAACAATTATTTTGCATGCACACAAATCTAAACAAACTAAAAATCAAGAAATTTGACTCACATAAATAAAAATAAATTCAATTAACTTTCAGTTAGCTAAACTGAATAAAAGCAAATATCCTACAGATATGAGATGCGAATTAATAAATATTAATCATGAGCTCTCATTTTCAATTAAGAAGGTTATAACACATTGAAATTAAGCACTATCATTGTCATTCTTTAAAAACTACCAATAATATTGTTGTTGTAGTTTGTTGTCCATGTATTTGTGGCTCAAGAAAGTCAAGAACATAACCAATTATACCACTGTTCATTATGTAGAAATGGTATTTTATATTTCACATTGTTCTAAAAATACTATTCTCAATTCATCTTTTCAGAGCATCAATATGCAATTATTGATTATGCAATATTAACAATATTGCATAATTTTGTGTATCAATGATTCTACCTTTTCCTAAAAATTTTTTCACTCTTTTAATATTCAGTATTTATCATTTCCCACAGCCATGTAAACATACAATGTATTAAACCTACGAGGACATTGTGCTCACTTCGGCAGTACATATGCTAAACCTAAGAGGACAATTCAATAACTATGTGAACACACAGGGACATTTGCCAGCATATTTATCTAAAACTACATATGATGGAAAAATAAAATTTGGATTTTTTTTGTGCTGACCAAAGCTGGAGAGGTACCATCTTGCAGCCCCTTGCCAGGGCAGGCTGAAATGGCAGCCTCTTAAGAGACATGACTTATTTGTGCTAGCGTGAGTTTTTGTCTACGAAAATAATGATTATTATGTCTAGAGAAAAATAGATCTCTATTAAAATGTCTCAAGTCCAAGGTTATTCCATAAAATAGATGTCTGTCTGTAAGTTGAGACTGAAACATTCTTTAAACTACATCTCACTAACAGAAGAGAAATTTGAATTTATTTACATTTCCAATTTGGCATGTACTCTGAAACATCGCAAAAAATTAAATGCAAATTGTAAAATGCTATTAAGTCATCAGTCTAATCCTTCTCCCAAGTAGCAGTGACAAACTCAAAAGAACAAAAAATTGCCAATTTCTTTGCTATGGGTTACAAATGTCAGAATAAAGGAGGTAAGCATTGTTCATTCATTATGAATATTAAAGAAGCCATTTGATCAGTACTAAATAAAAGTAGATGTTATTAAAGCAAGTGTTTAATGTGTTAGCAGTAGCTTCACCAACTGCCACACGCCGGTCCTTTTCTCAGAATAAACCTCTGGTCGGTGTACTCATTTCCTATCTGTCATCTTGAATTATATGTCATCTTGGTCTTGATGAATATGTGTTAGATCCCTTCAGGCTGGTTAATAATAACATTCACAGCATATGATACTCAATCTTAGATCTTTCAGGAGTCATAAGTTATATAGCCACCCACTTCACAATACCCTAAGATCCGGAAACAACCTAGACACCCATCAACAGACAAAGGGATCAAGCAAATGTGGTGCGTGTACCCACAGTGGAATATTATTTAGCTACAAATAAGAATGAATAGAGTGAAGAGGGGAGGGGGCAAAGGACAGAAAATGATCATGAAACCATATAATAAATACTTTTACTTATACATATATACATATACGCCCATTCTCCCCAATGAATATAAGTATTATTTCTCACAAGCACATGCTAATAAATACTGAAAACTTCAGACAGGTGATGCAAGAAGATTCACCAACTATCAAAGATTGTAAAACCCCGCTAATTAATCCTGAACCCCATAACAATGTTTTCTCTAACTATTATGTATGGTTGGACACAATACCAAAAAGGAGTTCCATTGAAAGACTATCATTTTGCATTGGAAAAGGACATTTTTGGGTAAAAAGCCTTCTAAAAATTAACTAAAACCAACTTAGGTGCCAGACTGTATCTCTTTCACTCTTATTCTGCACAAAGATAAAACCAGGTAACCTCTGACAAGTTAGTGTCTACCTTGTTTCAAGTTACTCCAGCAGTCATTACCTATAAGGGCCACAGCCATAAAGAATGAAGGATTTCATTCTGGTTAATGACAGATTTGCCGCCGTAAAAGTGAGTCTCATCACAAACGGAAGGGAGGCATTGACCAAGTCTCTATCGTAGTACTGTCGTGACAAATAAAAGAACTAACTCAGCAGAGAAAGCCCAGTGCAGCACCAAGGAAAGCTCAGTAAATCTAACCCCTCCTTGTGTTCAGAATTGAGTGGCATGCTGTCGAGTGCACTTACCGTTTTCCTAACTGACATCCATGTGCTGAGAGGAATAGTTCGGCTTATAAAGAGCTCTAGACGGAAGATACCTACAAGTCCTTTGTGGCACCTGGCTTGCTGGGAACTGATCTTTTATAGAGATTCATAAAATTGACTTAATCACCACCAGATTCAGTTTCCTTGTCTTTGATATATGAAGCCGGCTCAGCAGACCTAACTCACCTTCTTAACCTCCGAGCTCATTTAATTCACATGGTCACATATGCTTTGTTGTTTATGACGTCAAAAAAGGAACTGAGCGACTTTCTAGAGGAGAATATTTAAACCAGCATTTTCATGTCTCTGTATTCTACCTACATCACCATGAAATACTTGTCTCTACACAAATGTCAAAACTGCTAGCAATGCACCCACACTGAGAGCATCCTCTTATAAGCTTAAATATTTTTCTTTTCATACTATATTAATTGAATAGTTTCGCTTTGGATATATGAACTTCAAATTCAGCTGACTCTGGTTTTATTATCTGAGCACCTCCCTTTAACTGGTACATAATTAGGTCATCACCAAACAGAACAAGTGGGGCACATCTGAAATTTGAGGCTCTAGTTAACATTAAATGATCCGACATGTATTACTGGTTCCCCATAAGCTACGCTTTTTTTCCTTCTTTACAAAATAAAAAACAAAATCCCTGACTTTGTTGTGGTTGGTCATTAAGTTCGCAGGGTGAACTTTGATTAGTACACTATGATAGTTTCAAATGATTCATTTCAAACAAGGCATAAAAAACAAATCTGGGGTAAGAGACAAAAAAAAAAAAAAAAATCCAGAGCAAGATTGAGGAGCAAGTTTCTTATTTCCCGAAAATAAGACGCAAGGAGAAATGTCGTTTTATGGCCTCAGCAATTTTCTTCTTTGGGTGATGTTCAGAATTGCAAGAGGGGTTTGGTGGCCAAGAGATGAGACAACTTAAGAGGTTGTGCATTGAGACAGGAAAGAAAAGGGTGCTGTAATCCAGCACGGACAGCGTATCCAAAAGCGCACCTTGACTTGTTACAATTGTCTGGCATATTTTATATGTTCTGGGGTCTATTAGTCTTGTTTTCAATTCGTGTTCATGATAATCAACTGTATAAAGCCTTACAGGATAAATAAATCTGATGATGGAAAAATAAAAGGGATTGGAGGGAGAGGGGAAAAGAAGAATTGAGAAGTATCGTGTCCACGTACCAATTCCCTACAGAGAATGCAATCATTATGCACTGCAAGCATGTACTAATAAAAGATTTTTTAAAAAGGAAAATGGAAAAATCTAGATCTTTCATAATATTATTGGTCAGGGAATCTGTGAACTCTGGCATTTCATCAACTCCAGACTTCTTGTTCTGTGGGGTTGTGTACCTGTATTACCTAAGTCCTTTTAAGATGGTCTTCACGTTACATCTGAAATTATCTTGCCCCACCTAAGAGTCAAAAAAGCTAGCTGTTTAAAACAAAAGAAGTTTGCAATCTCAGTGGCGTCACTCAATGGAAATGTATTTCTTGTTTACCTCGCAGTAGGAGCTGAGTGAGCAAAAGTGTCTCCCCACAGCCAGGGAGAGTAAACCCCTGCTAGTGTGAATCCACCTCTTTTCAATGTGGACAGCTGGTGAAAGAGAAGACCAGGAAGCCCACACTTCAGAGTCTATGCTTTTGTTGTGTGTTCCTACTAAAGAAGAGGGAAAATGCACCCAAATCATGTGCTCAGGAGAAAGCAGAAGTAAGTTTGGAAAATACAATATTCACTATAATGGTGCCTGAAAATAAACAGTTTCTCTATATAGTTAAAGTTTGGTAGAACATTTTTACTCAACACTGTCTCAATAACCAAGTGATGAATACAAAAACCAGCTGTTATACTACCTACTTCACTGAAAACAGTTCAGCCAAATGGTGTCCTGTTTTGTGATACAGATTTTCCACCCTGTATTTATACCACAGTAAAAAAGCGATATTTTCTCTAAACACCAGGAAGTGATACAAAATGATCAGAATTAATTGCAGGCTATCTTTCCAAAGATCAAGTTCGTTTTTGACTGGAAAAATGCCGCTTACTCCAGTTGGGGTGGATAATAAAAGTGACTACTTTAGAAATTCAGTTTAAAATGTAAAAATTAATATCTATTTATTAAGTGAATCCTAGACAATTAAATCTAATTGCTCTGTATGCTTTGTCAAAACATAGAAGGCATCTCTACTGTCACTCTTGATTTGCTTCTCCTGTAGTATTCCATTTGTTGTACTACTGAGATTAAAGATTAAACCCAATTGCTAAGTGCATTGCCAGGTCCCTCATACATGTCCTCAGCTGTGTGTGTGTGTCCCCACACGTTTGGATACTCCCAGTGTTCTCATTTTGCATATTCTCACGTAGAAATGCAGTCTCTGGTACACCACCGCATTCCAAAGATCAATCACAAACTCTACCCAGTGCTTGTCAAGAGTCAATATCTAATATAGGAGGAACAAAAGCCCATGGAAAAAGATAACACTGATCCACTTGTGAGAGATTTCTGCTGTCTGGTGGGTGACAGAAAGTGAAGCAAGACCAATCCCATTACAACTAGTTATGCTTCAGCCTCTCCAATTTCATTCATTTTGCTTTTATTTCTGATGTGCAAAGGCTGTTTGATGAATTCCCTTCTGGGGACAGGCTGGTCTGGAAAGATTGTACATTAAAAAGTTATGAAGGGTACATAATTTATTAAATCCAACTCATTATGGGAAAGTGTTAGCATGCAGTTCATTTAATAGGAATCATTGGTGGAGAAAATGACTATTGTTTTGATCTAGTCATATACGCTATAGCATAATTTCCCTACGGTGATTTAGCAAATCTTGAACATGAACACTCACTTAGTATGTTGTGTTATGTATTAATGGCTTTGGCTTTACATTTTTATTATGTTCTGTAACAAATAAACTTTCCATGTTTTTAGCGAAATGATTGAGAAATTAAATACAGTAACTAGGGTGGGGGATTTAGCTAGGTGGTTCTGCCATCTGCCTTGCAAGCACAAGGGACCGAGTTCAATCCCTGGTACCAAAAAACAAACAAATAAATAAATACAGTAACTATAACCCTGAGGGCAAAGTAGACAAGAGTAAGGAACAGTTTTCTTATGGGTCTTCTATGTGGTAACCAGGAAAACAATCAATTATTAAAAAAAAAAAACTTAGCCTATAATAATGAAAGCAAAAATGACCCCCCTAAAAAGGTCCTGTGTATGTCTACTATGCACAAATGTTATGACTAAACATTGTGGAGAAAAAAATATGTGTTCAAGGGGCTAAGGAGACAGGTTACATACATGAACATAACTAGCTCCACATATAAAGCACCACGTCATCAAACACTAGATTTTACCAAAACTACTAAAAGAAATCAGAGAAGGTGATATTTCAGTGACACCAGATGGCCAAGGGATAATCTTTATTTATAGGCTCTTCCCAAAAGAGGTTTTTCATATAATTTTCTAATATCATTTTGCATGCCAGCTATCATTAACTCTGTAACTGACTACATAATTTCAAATTATATTAACATTCATTTAGCTGAAAAATGTGTCTAATCATTTCCCTAATAAATTAGAACATTTACTTTATTTCTAGTTTTTTCCCATTCACAAAGCCATAATAATCAGTTTTGCAGTGTTCTTGCTTTTGTTTGTGGAGGATACATTCCCAGAAGTAAGATTCCTAGTTTAAAATGTAAATGCCTATTTTAAAATAATAAATTCATCATCATAGAGCTTTCCAAAAAAGTCCAAGTTTGCTTCATCCCCAAAATGCAGGGTGTAAATTTTGCTTCCGGCACTCGTCATTCATTCTAAGTTTTGCTTGTCAGCGGGAGAGGAAGTTACCTCTCATTGTGACTTTCATATTCATTACTCAGAACTCCTAGTGGATTCAGAATCCCTTTCATACATATAAAATGGCCATTTGGATTTTCTTTTTGAAAAAATTATTACCAACCTTTACCCATTTTTCTACTGAGTTGTGTTTCTTCTAACAAATAGTAGATCTGAAAGCCCACCTTCCTGTTTTTAATTTTTAGTCAAGCTACCTATAATCGGATCAAACACCATGAATCAAACAGTGCTGCTGGGCACCAGCCCTGTGCAGTGGAAGGGAAATTAGCATGGGAAATGCAGCGTGCTCAAGTCTGGTGGTAGAGATGAAACAGATACGGGGCGCAGTGTACCCCAGAAAAACACATATAAACACCACATACAATGCATCAGCCTTATTAATGATGTGACAGAGGAGGCTTTGTTTCTGGTTAACACTGTGAAAATTTTTCAGAGAAGACAACATGAGCCCGGCTATAAGAGATGGGAATGATTATCTTAAGTGTCATATGAGAAAAAAAGCACTCTTTGCAGGAGGAATAACAAATTTTTCAAAAACAAATGACTAATTCAAAAGCTAGGAGCACTGACCTGATGACCATGACTTTATTAATTTCCAGTAAAATATCTTATTGCAATAATATATAATTTTCATGTCCCCAAAACAGAGGTTAAAAGAATGCAGATGCTATCCAGCTATATATATTTGAATATTATGCTTCTGGTTAAGAAATGCAGAAAAATTCCCATTTATCAGCTTAGAATTCAAAACTTAGCAATCACTGAATGTTATTACATACAATATTAAGTTATAATCTTTGGAATATCAGGAAAAGAAGGAATTAACACTAAATTTTGTTTGCTTCAGGAATACTAAACTTATCCAAAAAAGTCGCTAAATGTTCTAAAAGTTAAAGCAAATTCTAAAAAGCATCTATTTTGAAATTAGAGTGGTGGCTGTATGCATATTTTTGCCTCTTGCATGGATGGTCCAGGGTTGTTTGAAATCCACGTTTAAGCCACGATTCTGAAGGGCGTATCAACTACACAGAGCCAGTGAGTAATAGCGATGCGGGTGACGCCCTCGGGGCGGCTCTGTCAGCAGTGCAGATCTGCATGTACAGATCCGTCAGAGTCTCCCAAAAACACGCAGAAGGCCCCAGGATCTGAGCCATTTCGAAAACAAATGCAGAGCTCTCGGAACGCGTGGCCTCAGCGTCACTGCCGGTCCTCCCTCGGGTGTGATCTCCCCACCACCTCCTACATCTTCCCCCTGCCATTGTTGCTTGCACACCCTCACCTGGGTCTCAG